TGGGGCCTTGTTTCTAGGAACACTCATTTCTCCAAACTCTCTAGACTTCTTGCCTCCCCCAAGTCTTCCTGCTTCCATTTTGGCCCCTCACAAACCATGCTCTGCATGGTAGCCAGAAAGAGCACTTAGAAAAGGAAAACCAAATCACATCCCCCGAGGGCCTCCCAGCATACTCAGAATCAAACTCTAAGTCCCTGCCCTGACCCAGCAGCCTCTCCTGAGCCTCCCCAGAAAGAGGCCCACCTGGACCCAGAATCCTGTCCCACTGCAGGCTGCAGATGCAGGGAGCGTATGGCAGGAAATGGGGAGGAGAGACAGGGAAGCTCCTGCCCTGGTGTGAGATGCAGAGACGTCTCTAATGAGGCCACCGGGCCTTTCCAGCTTCTAGTTAGGAATGCCTCCCAATAATCATAGAAGGCAAGTTGCTCACATTTTCTTAAAAAACCTCCAGAGAAGGAGGTCCCACCGTCTTCCTACTTAACTTGGAAACAGTTTGGCAATGATTCCCAACCTTGCCTTTAGGAAGTTATTTCTGAAATCTAACCTTTAACCGCCTGTTGCGATTTGTGTCCTCTGGGGACGGTAGTTACTGGAATGCTAAAGCTCAGCAGACAATGGTGCCTATCTCTGAACTAAGGCAAGGGACGCCACTAACTTCTTAGGGGACCTCAGTTACGTCTCTCTTCTCTGCCAGGCAATAGCTCTCCCTTCTCAGGAAGGCTGGAGGTGGGGTGGGGATCTGGCCAGCTCTGACACAAGCTGTGATCTTGAGGCTGTCCTCCCTGACAGCCTGTGCTGGAGGAAAGCCAGGAACTGGAAGGCCCAAGGTGGGGAGAGTTACCTGACTTCAGCGTGCTGGAAGTGCGGGCTGCCGCGGGCACGGTACCGAGGGTCAGTGACAGCAGTGGTGGTCTCATGAGCTAGTACAACGTGAGGGTACTGAGGTGGGGGTCCTCGGGACTCTGGGCCCTCAGGAGGGGGGCCCCTCAGTGGGGGGCCCTGCTGGCTGCGGGCCAGCTGTGGGAAGCTGTGGGAGGAGCTCATGTGGCTGGGGGCCCGGGCGCCGTTCCTCTCCAGGGACAACTGCAGGAGCCGTTCACTCAGCGAGCGCACGTGCCCGTGCCTCAGCTCCCGCAGGGCCTCATCCTGCCTCCGACTGCCTCCGGGGGCCCCACGGGGATCTCGGTCCCCTGCATGTGGCCGGGGCCCCACCTGCTGGGCCGCATAGTACTGCGAGTGGGCTTTGGCCTCCTCATAGGTGGGCAGCTCCTCTCCCTTGCTGGGCTGTGGGCACAGCCGGTAGAGGGTGTTCTCTGCCAGGTGGTTCTCACCGCCCTGGTGCTCCTGGCCCTGGGGCTCCTGCCTGGTGGCTTGCTGCAGCACCTGACTATCCTCTGGTGCCAGGATCTCCAGGGAGGCCTGGGGGCTCCCTGTGCCCCCAGTTCCTGCCCCACCCCTCAGGGCCTGCTGCTGGATGGCTAGCAGCGTGCGTGTCTCAGTCAGGTTGCCATAGCGCAGCTGCTCCTGGATGAGGCGGTGCAGGACTGTCCCCGAGGAGTCTTCCAGTGTCCTCATGCTTCTCTGGCTTGCACACAGCTGCCTGGACAATGGCCGGTGGCACCTGGCCCCAGAGCACCTAGAGGAGGCGGGGGAGAGAGAGAGACAGAGAGAGAGAAAAGCAATCAGTGGGAGTCCATGGGAAAGGAGAAGGTTTTCCAGGATTTCCATTATTACTCTGGTGGAAAGCACAAAAGTGAAGAGCAGGGGTGGGGCGGGTCACATAAGCTTGGATTCAAGTACCAGTGCTGCTATCTACTGATTAAGACAAGTTATCTAACCTCTGAGCCTCAGTTTCTCCACCAGAAAAATGCAAAGAATTCTGCTTGACTCATGGAGATGAGAATAAAAAGAGGCAGTGGCCTGTGAGCTCCTGGTACAGTGAAAATCCTGGTAAACAATGACTGTGATAACATTCATGGTGACTTACTATTCCTGGAGAGAGACAACAGGAAACCAGAAGATAACCCACCAGGAACCACCGCCCGTACAGCCAGCTACACATCAAACAGCCTGATGGGCAATTCCAAGGCAGGCCTAGTTCAGATCTAACCACTTAGCTATTCAGTCTAGGGGTGGATGGGGCCCCAATTTATTGGCAGGTGATAAAAAATGCATGCAGTCCAGTAGAAAAGCCCTAGGCAAAAGGCCCCCAGGACCCTCTACACGGAGGCATGCCAGAGCCCAGCCTTGGCACGGTCAACCTACCACCCTCTAGCCCGCTGAACCCCTGCCCACTTTTTTCACTCTCCCTGAACCAGAGAGCTCCTGGAGGATGGGCCTGGGCTCTGCTTCATCAAGCGCTGCTGACAGAATGAATCTGGGGCTCCCTGTCATGGGACGACCTTGGCAGTCACTCCACAAGGTTAACAGGAAGAAGGAGGAATTGCACCTGAATTGGTGAATAAGGGCTGAATAAAAATGCTCCAAGAGGACAATGGTATTGTGAGATGAGGCAAAAGGGTGCCACCCAGTAAGGTTAGTGGGTCAGTCTTTGTGCTGACAGTAACTGCAAGAGAGCTCCAGGAAAAAGGATGGCATGATGTCTTTGATTTTATGATTATCCTCTCCAACACACACACACACACACACACACACACACCACACACGCTACTTGGAAAAGCCCCCACTGGTCCTCTAGGCACATAGGCGACAGGCACTCAGCATCTTTCTTGACATCAGTGTCAAGGAAGCCCATCTTGACTTGGGCTAACCGGAGAAGTAAGGGGAGGTTGTTGGTTGAGAGACCTGGGGCAGAGGAGAGGGGACTGTGAGCCTAAAGTGCTGGGAGATAATATCAGAGAAAGGATTTCCCTTCTAAGTCTGGGCTCCCAGTGGCTCATGGACTGGAAAGCTGCCTGCCTCTCTCACCCAGCTTCCTTTCCACAGCCTCTTCCAACACAAATCTCCAAACTGGGTTCCAGGGAAAACTAAACAGAATCCACACTGCCACAGGTCCTGTGTGTATGGGCAGCGATTGGGGGGTGGGTGGGAGGAATGTGGCCCCTCCTCTGCCACTAAACTAGCCCTAGTGTCCTGCTTCAGTTTGGGCTATGGCATGTTAGCAGAGCAGTCATTCCCAATCGTTCCCTTCTCCCCACCCCAGGACTACAGCTGCCCAGAGGTGGGGAGTGGGGGATGAGTCTGGAGGGCACCTCTGTACCCATCCTTCCTGGCACCGAGTCATGCACTCCCCCCCGCCCCCGCACACAACGAGGGGTAGATGTGCAAGACTCCGGAGCTACCCGAGGCAAAGCAAGCAGATGGGATTCAATTCGCATGGGATTCAGTTCGCCCTGGAGTTTTATCTGCGGGCATTTCCTAAGATAATCACTCTCTGGGCCGACTCCCACAGAGGCAGGGGAGCGGCAGGAAGGAATGCGGAGCCTTCCCGACAGATTCCAGGCGCTCCACAGTGTGCCCGGACTGGGAGCAAGGAACACCTCCAAGGCCTCTCATCGCGAATTTGTCCCGGCCAAGCCCCTCAGATTCACGTCCTTTCAGACACCAAACGCCTGAGCCTTTACTAAAACCTGCTTCCGCGCCCTCGGCCGCGCCCCTCTGCTGCGCTCTCTGAAGGCCGCCTTTCTAAGCCAGCGCGCGTCTCCAGCCTTGGCCTGGGGTCCCGCTCGCCTAAGGAACCAAAGTGACAGTCTCCAAGCTAGGAGACTCTCGCACCCCAGCCAGGGCTCCCGCCCCACCACGAGCCCGGGCGGACCTGGAGCACCGAAGGTCACTGGTACGCCTGGGGCTAGCCGGTGAGGGTAGCCCGAGGCCCGGAGAGGTCTTTAAGCATCGCGGGTCCGCCTCCCTCCCTCTCGAGCCCTCTTTGTTTTCCAAATACTCTAACGCTGACGTCACCGGGCTGGACAGCAGGCTGCATTCTTTCTAAGTGAGAGCCAATTCGTGGCTCCAGAGAGGATTTTCCAAGGAAGACAAAGAGGAATTCTTGGACTGGTTGGGGGCAAAGGCACCTGTAACCCCCACCTAACCAAATCAGCCCGCAAGACCCTGCAACTTGAGCTCCAAGCGGCGCCTCCATCCCTGTCCCCGGCCACCCCCACCCCAGCCGACCCGCAAACCGAAACACCGTCGCTCTTCTCTCCGGAGTCGGCCCGCTCCCCTCTCCCCCAGCCCCAAGGGACCCGCGCGCATCTAGAGCCCCGCAAAGCCCAGGGCGCTGGGCTCCCCGCGTGGAACGGCTCTTGCCCAGCACTGCGGCTGCCTCGAAAGGGCGCACTGCGCCCCGAGGACGCTCGATCCTCTGGGCTCCGACTCCCGGAAAAGGCCGGGCTGCGCGGAGACTACAGCTTTGGCTGGGGCACGTTTCTGTGGCCTCGCGCGCTCTCCCGAGCGCGGAGCAGCCTTCCTTACCGCTGCGGCCCGAGGGTGCCCGGCGCAGTCAGACACCACAACCTCCGGGTCGGCGCGGCTCAGTTCGGCGGCGGAGATGTGTTCTCGGCCGTGGCGCCGACGCTCTGGCTGTTCGCGCCCCAGCGCGCAGCCCCAGGGTCGGCCCGCGCCGGAGGCGGCTGCTATGCCAGGAATGTGAGAGTTTCAGGTTCCCCCTCGGGATCAAAGCGAACCACAAATAACCTCTCAGCGCGCCGCCCTTCTCCGCCCTCCGCCTCCTCCCGCTCCCTCCTCCCGGCCCCCGCCTTCCTCCGGGGAGGCGGCGCTGCTGGCTGAGCGCCGGGCCGGCCCCCGAGCTCCGTTCCTCCTCGCCCAGCGCCCTCCAGGCCGCGCTGTGTTCGCCCCTGCCCCCCCGTTTTGCCTTGGGAGCTGCTGGAGACAATTTAATCCAACTCGGCTTATTATCGTCTCTACTCCCAGTCGCCGACCCGCTCTCACCCTTCATCCCTAAACCTATCGACGGGACGACAGCAAGGGCTGTACCACGCGTGTCCCGAGGTTGCTGCGGGAGGGGACTCCGGCTGTGTGTGTGTGTGTGTGTGTGTGTGTGTGTGTGTACCGGGGGAGGGGGGAAAACGAGGAGGGACTGCAAAGACATCCATATCCTCTGGGCTGGGACAGTGCCCCGGGCGAAGTGAATGCTTCCAGCCACCCAGCCTCTTTCCCCTAACCCCCGCTGCTTTCACCCCCAGCGGCAACCTTTGAATTGCAGTTGTGTTTACAAACACCTTTGCCAGCTCTTTTACGACCTGTCTCCACAGGAAGTGTGAATCTGGGTTGGAAAATCCGGTCAATTTGACCCACCTACCCAACTTAATCACCCGTCGTCAGGCGCTCTGTCCAATTCTTCCCCAAGGTGATAATAGGCGCCCCTTTACTCAGAGCGCAAGGTGTGCCACCGTTGGCTTTTCGCCCAGTCATCCGATTCAGCCCTGCCAAGCACCCTTCAACGGCGTTCTGTTATCATTCCTGTGTTATAAATGAGGACACCAGGGCTCAGAGAGCTTAAGCAGCGTGTCCAGAGTCACACACAGCGAGAACCAGGTAATCAGCCACGGGGCTGCTTGGTTTCTTATTCTCAGAACCCCTCCCTGGCTATCAGAATCCAGGCTCCCTAGATGGACAGGGCAGACGCTGGGAGCCCTCCTCTATTCACCTGCCCTGTCCTTGTTTTAGTCTCTTTTTTACCTCCCCATACACCCCTGCCAGCCAGGGGGTTTCCCTTGTACCCACTTCGGTGGCTCCTGCGTGGAATCCTCTCCTCTGCCCCCAGGACACTTCCTCTGCTAGGTGGAAACCCCTTCTTCAGAAAGCCTGCTCTGACACACTCTCCCCGTTCCCCACCACACAAGGCCTCTCTACAAGTCAGTTGGGGTGAGGTGGGGGCAGTCGGGCCCTGTCCACCAGGATAGTCAGGGCTGATTTCTACCCCTGGCTAGGTCCTCCCCTCAATATGGAGTTTGCAAGTCCCAAATTCACTGGAGGCAACCAAGGACAAGGAAACTCTGCAAGCTTAATTGCCAGGGACATTGTTAATTTTTAACGAAACTCACAAAAATGTGTGTGTGTGTGTGTGTGTTTTACTTAGAAGCCAAACACTGTGTTTCAAATAGTGATTGAATCTGAGATGATTGAGCAAATGGACCATTTGTGCCAAGCTAAGGGATATTTGGCTTTCCAAGGATCCCCTTACAAAGAGAAGCTGTGATCAGTATACCACTGTAGGTAGGAATTTTAGAATGAAAGGAAAGAGGTGTCTGAGTGGCCTTACCTTATGGACAGTATAACTGGTGGAGGCAGGGGAGTGGTTGTGGACATGTGAACTCTGGGGCTGTAAAATCGGGGGAAACACAGCATGGTACAGTCCTGTCTTTCAGGCATTTGGGAGGATGCCTGACAAAATGTTTGGCAAATATTCTTGAGATGGTTGCAGAAAGGCGTCAGTTCAAGGCAGCTAGAGTGGAGGAGGTACACCTTGGAGCCGGCAAGCCTGCTGCGGAGCCACACAGGCACCCATGATTGCTAATTTCTGTCCCCAAAGGGACAGAAGCGGGAGAGGGATCCCAAAACCTAAATGAGAAATGTGCATGTACTTTTTATTTTTCCTTTCCCTTTCTCTCTGCAGAAAGAACGGAGGGCACGATCTCTCAGGCACGGGTTGCTGGGAGGCTTCGTGGAACCTGCCTAAGCTGGTGGCCATCCCAGCTCTGCAGGGTGGTTGGTTGAGAAGGTGACCACCGTTGAGATGTGCCAGAGGCAGGTATGCACAGGGGACACTGGGCGGGCCAGGCTGCTTGCCTCCGAATCTATCTTCGCTTACAGCAGAGGGGAGAGAGGCTTCTTAGTGAGCCAGTGCTTTCTTCTTCCACTTTTGTCTCAGTCTACCTTGTCCCTTTCTCCTTTACCTCCTCTCTTCCTCCTGCAGGTTATGATTCTTCCCAGATGACAATGTGGCTGACTGGGTCAGGAATCCTACCCAGGAAAGATGCGGAGGTGACCTAATTCTCAGAGTAAGCCAGGCTGGAGGCCTTTGCTCTGGGGAGTGTAGCTCCTTGGGGTGTGGCTGTATCATAGGTGTGTACATGGCTTAGCAAGGGATTCAGGCACCCACACCATCGCCTTTCCCTAGCCCGGGTCTGGGTCTGTGCCTGGTTTATGTCCTCAGTCTGGCCCTGCAGCTGCATCCCACTGCACCCAACCAGAATATGAAAGTGAGCTCTTGGTGGGACCCTAGTAGCCTCCTCTCATACAGCTGGGAAGGAAATGTTCCCCTTACTTCCCAAATGCTTGCTTAGTGGAGGAGAGCTCCAGGGTGCAGGTGGCAAGATCAAAGGATGACTGTTAGTTGTGAAATTCACTTTTCCAGCTTCCTCTGGACACTCCCTCTGACAGGTTATGGGAACAAGAAGCCTACTGGAGCACGAAGCAAATTCATAGGAAGAATCTGAACATTAGGATGGAAGTTCTAGTGCTCCAGTTCCAAGAGCAGAAGACCCAAGTGGGGGACTTTCTTCTCTTTGTCCTCCTGCAAACCCCTGTCCCCCCTTCACTCCCTTCTCCACCCCTCCCTTCATCACTCCCTCTAGGTTTTCTCCCCCAAGTCTTCTCCTTCCACTGCTGCCCCGTCTCCCTTTCACTCTCACGCTTCAGGTCTGGAATCTCCATTAAGCACAAAGGGCCTCACGGGGTCTGTGTCTTTAGGGGTTAAATCCTCCGGAGTTGGAGCATTTATGAAATTAGGCCCCACAATGGTTTAGGTAAGAGAATGTTGTCCTAAAAAATGAAGAAGCGGCCAGGCACGGTGGCTCACGCCTGTAACCCCAGCACTTTGGGAGGCCAAGGTGGATGGCTCACCTGAGGTCAGGAGTTCGAAATCAGCCTGGCTGACATGGCAAAACCCTGTTTCTACTAAAAATACAAGAATTAGCCAGGCATGGTGGTGGATGCCTGTAATCCCAGCTCGGGAGGCTGAGGCAGGAGAATAGCTTGAACCCAGGAGGCAGAGGTTGCAGTGAGTTCAGATAGCGCCATTGCACTCCAGCCTGGGTGACAGGCAAGACTCCGTTTCAAAAAAACAAAACAAAACAAAACAAAACAAAAAACAAAGGAAGAAGAAGCCCTGCCTCTCCAAACCGCACACATTCCTTGAGCCCCTGGCCTTCCTCTGTGGCCTTTTTCTTCCTTCTGGTGCCCCTGCCGGCCCAGGGCTAAGAGGATTCCTATGAATGGTGAGGTTACACAATGGGCAGGGAGCTCTGAACCATGCTCCCATTTCCTCTCCTTTTTCTAGGGTGTGTAACTGCCCAGGGCCTTCACAATTTCCAGTCCTGCATGGAAGACTTGTCTGGATATTGGCAAATACTTGGATGAAATGCAGGAGCGCACACTTGAGTTTATTTTTGTGTGGGTAGCCATCAGACTGGGAAGGAATGGGGTGAGGATCTAAGAATGGGCACATTCTGGCGGGTGAATAAAGAAAGACCATTTTGAAATATCAGTGTAACCCCAGACACCTGCCTTTTCTGCAAAGCTACCTTATACTGAGTGAATACTGATATTGTGGATGTGCCATTGCTGCCTGGAAAGATCCTCTGCTCTTGGCAAGAGGCAGCAGGGAATGTGAAGAGGCCCCTGAGTTTGCAGGAAAGGGCCTAGGGCAGGGTTTGTGCCTGCTGGGGCAGGGCTGGTGTGATGGAAGAGTGCCCCCTAGTGAGTCACATCTCCAGTTGCTGGGGTCAGCTCAGCCCAGGGCTCCCTGGGTGGGTCTTGGGTCTGAGATTGGGGGTGAGGGTAGGGGGAGGGGAAGGGATGTTTGGGACAGGATTTCATCCTGGGACAGGTGTCTCTCAGACCTCTCCAAGAATGGACTCATGGCTCCAGTTGTGTTTCGGCACTTTCCTCCCATTTCAGCCTCTGCTGGGTTTTCACGTGGTCTTTAAAGGGATACCATCTTTAATATAAACAGCCTCATATCATTGACATGGGAAAACACCTTGCATTCACTCACCCGTTCACCCTTCCATATATCTATTCCATCATGTATTTTATACCTTCAATCAACAAATATTCCCTGCGCACCTGCTCTGAGCCAGCCCCTGTGAGTCAAAGGGGGCTTTCCTTCTTGCAGGGCTGGGAATGCCCACTGGGTGCAGGGGAAAAAGAAACAAGTACACTACAAAGTGGAGAGTTACACCTTGAAGGAAGGGAGCATGGGCACAGGGAGGTAGTCATGATGGGCTTCCTGGAGGAGGTATTTCTCAAACTGAGTGCTGAAGGCCAAGTTGAACAGTGAGGTGTTTTCCCCGGGCTGGCATCTGGAGAACCTGCACTAGAAGCATAGACCCCTGGTTCACTAAAACAGTGAACTGTTGAACCATTCTTGGAAGGCAGGAACTGTTGAACCATTCTTGGATGGCCATTGATCTCCAGTCATCCTTATGTCCCTGCCTAGGAGTAATCCTGGAGGGAAGGAGGACTACAAAGGCACATGGAAACTTGAGTGGAGGGTGCTGGATATGTTTACTCTCTTGACTGTGGTGTACATATGACAAAACTTACCAATCAAACTGTGCATTTTAAATAGGTGAGTTTATTAGGGGAAAAAATCAAATAGTTCTATAATGTAAGAAAGCAATCCCCTGTTTTACTCTTCCCCCCTCCACCAAATTCCATTCCAAAGAGACAATTGCTTTAAACATTTTTAAAATTTTATTATTATTATTATTATTTCTTGAGATGGAGTCTCGCTCTGTCACCCAGGCTAGAGTGTAATGGCGTGATCTCAGCTTACTGCAACCTCTGCCTCCCGGGTTCAAGCGATTCTCCTGCCTCAGCCTCCCAAGTAGCTGGGATTACAGGTGCCTACCACCACGCCTGGCTAATTCTTATATTTTTAGTAGAGATGGGGTTTTGCCATGTTGGCCAAGCTGGTCTCGAACTCCTGACCTCAGGTGATCTGCCCACCTCGACCTACCAAAGAGTTGGGATTACAGGTGTGAGACACTATGCCCTGGCCTAAACTTTTTAAGATGTTCTATGTTTACATTTGAATTTCTATAGAATATTCTTATTTTTCTTCTCTTAGTATGTTTCTGCTTTAGGTGTTATCTACCTCATTCCTGCTATAGAAGATTAGGATTGTACACCACACACACATCTTTCCTTCATCCTCTTGACATGGCTACACAACATTTTTGGTTAAGTTACTATCCAATGTTTATATTATTGTGACTACGTAAACATTGTTAAGAACAGAATCATATACTGTGCTGTGATTAAATTTTCTTTCTTACACAACTTTTGTCTTGATTGAAGTTAAACTTGGCCTCATTTTTCATCTGCTTAGTGTTCTACATATTTAGCATTAAGTTGCGCCAAAATTGACACACATAACTCTAAGTTTCCCTCAATGAATGTAGACCCACTGGTGTTGTATCAGGTCTATCTCTCATGGCATCCCACCTGGAGAATTGGGATGATACACTCTCTGGTCCTACCAAACAGCTTTCATCCTCAGATCGCCCTCCATCTTCACTGTGGCCCTTCCTCTCAATTCTCTTCTGTGTGGTTCCTCATTTCCTGGGTTCATTTTCTCCCTCTTTCTGGGTTTACTTGTCTAGTCGCTTTCTGAGAATGGATCTGCAAGAGGCAAATTTTTAAAAAACCACTTGTGTCTCAAAGTGGCTTTATTCTACCCTCATACACTGTTGATAGTTGCCTGGGTATAAAATTCTAGGTGACAAAGAATTCTCCCTCTGTATTTTGAAAGAGTTGCTTCATTGTCTTCTTGTTTTTGGTGTTGCTATTGAGAAAAATAACGTACTTCTGACTGATGATCTCTGGGTATAAACTGTTTTCTCTTTCTCTGGAAGCTCACAGGATTTTCTCTGCATGCCTGATGTTCTGAAGTTTCCCAGTAATGTGCCTTGATATGTTTTTATCCTTTATTCTGAGTCTTTGGTGAGCCCTTCAATCTGGCATCTCATGTCCCTAAGCTCTGGGAAATTTTCTCAGATGATTGAGTTGTTACTTTTCTCCAATTTATCAGTTCTCTCTTTTGGAACTTCAATTATTTGGATATTAGACCTCCCCAAATGATTCTCCAACTTTTAATTTTTTTCCTATTATCTCTTCTTTTCTGGGAAATTTCTTCCCTTTTTAATTTTAACCCTTCTATAGTTTTGCTGTCATTTTTAATTTTCAAGAGCTGTTTCTTGTCCAGGGTTCTTTTTTATAACATCATCTTCTTGTTTCCTGAGTTAATTATCTTCTCTTATCCCTCTGGGGGTAGTAATTATAATGAAAATTATTTTCTTATTCCGATCTTCACATTTTCTCTGTTTCCTTAAAGTTCATTATGTTCTGTTTGTTTGTTTTGGTTTCTGTTTTTTTGTAGTTAAGGCTTTCCTCAAATGACTTTCATTCTTGGCTGTCTGATCCTATTTAAGAATGAGGCAGTTAGCAGCTGACGGAAGCCCTGTGTGGGAGCAGAGCTGGATTCTTGGAGGGTTTCACAGAAAAAGGGTGGGATAGGATTCTGGCCCTAATATTGGGGACCCCAAAGTAGCAGAATATGTAGGTCGTTTCCCTTGGGCCAGCAAGATTTCCAGTGAAGAATCCTGTGAGCCTCCTGCCTGGAGGCTGGCAGATGAAGCAGAGTGAGGAGGGGGAGATGAAGGGGGTTGGAAGGAATAAGCGTGACCAGGACCCCACCACTGCCATCCCTGCCTTTAGGCTTTCCAGATGATAACTCTCCAATTTGGCAGCGAGGAGGGATACGGAGTAAGGGGTTGATCTTCTCTTCATGAAGTGAGGGAGAGGATCTTGGAGCGTGCTCCCCTTCTTCAGGTTCTTACTCACAGCCCTGTTTTGGATCTCACCCTGGCCCACTTCGAAGAGGTGTCTGGTGCCTCCTAAGCTTGTTGGAGATTCTTCCCTAAACGTTCAGCAGGGAGAGAGGAAAGAATCTCGTTTTTCTGCTTCCCCCTTTCCAGAATTTTGTTGACATCCCTCTCCTGCTTCTCCTCTCCTGCCTTCTTTCGCCGAAGGGTTTGGCTTTTTCTTTCATCTCTTGCCTTCCAGCAGGCGGAGTTTGGGGCAGAGCCAGGGTGAAGGTATTCACTCCTCGGTTTAGCTTCCTCTTTCTTTTTCCCACTGAGGTGGCTCATTCCAGGCCTTGTCAGGACTGGTGTGGGCACCTGGGCCAGGAAACTGGCAGGCTCAGGGCTGTTCATCTGGTTCTGCCACTTCAGGGCTTGCTTTCCATGCTGCGGGCTGGGCTCCCATACATCCGCCAAGGGTAAACCCAGGGGTGGGGATGCTTCTGTGAAGGCAGTACACTGGATGGACTCTGTGCTTCAGCACTCCAGGGCCAAAGCCAAGACCTTCCAGAGAAAAACTTGAGGTCCTGGGTTGCAGAGGCCAAGGGCTAATCCTAGAACCCCAGGGGGAGCATGATGCTCCCTTCAGACACCACCTTGTCTTCACCAAACCTGCTTATCCAGGAAAAGGCTGACCCAGAGCTGCCTTTGGGTGTAATTGGGTAACCTTTCCTCTTCGTATTCGTAGGAGAAGGCAGTGGGAGAGAGCTCTGCCTACTCCAGGCCCACCTTTTGCTGTCTTCTGAGGGCATAGCTACGCTTCAGCCCCTTTGGGAAAGTTCTGCTCTTTGACCTGGCAGGGTTGGGGCTGGAGTGTCTCTTAGGAGATATGATAATGTCTGCTTATTTTGTGCAGAAGCCCTCACAGTGTGTTGTGTGGGCACTGGTTTAAAATACCAAGGAGATTCCATAATCAGTGTTCTTCTTTAGAGATTCACA